TCAATTCATTCACAATTCGGCCCAAAATATGCACCGATTTGTCGCAATGCTTTGATGTCAATACCATTAAAATCACCCCGGACATTAAACAAACTACACGTGTTTATACATTTAATTTTGACACAATAGTTGAATCAGACTATGTTAGGCTAATGTTTTTTGTCGACTACTTTAAGCCAGAAAATTTTTTACCAACCGACATAGTTGAGTTTTATATTAATTTGTTGAATTTTGGTGACCCTGGATATGGACCTACAGTACATATATTAGAGTGTAGTAAATCTGGTATTTACACTGACCCTGCTGATCCAACCAAGGACCTACCAAATGTTTGCAGATGCTTACCTGGCCATTATGGTGCTAAATGTGAAATGCTAAATTATTGTGCTGATAAGGTAATTTAACTTTAAATTAATTAATCTATATAGAATAAATTTTGAATTTTTAAAATTTAATAGCAACCCGGTAAACAATTTTGTACAAAATTGGGTGACTTAGATTGCATCGAGGACCACGCTAAAAATTTTGCTTGTGTTTGTAATATTGGTGACAAAGTTATATGGGATAGGTAACTTGTAATAAAGTAGTTTTTAATGTATAAAAATTCATAATAAATTTATTTTATAGTAATATGTGTAAGGCTATAGATGATCCATTATTGCTTGGCTGGAAATTTGATCCTGATTCAAAAGGATATTATCCACTTAAAACAGAAAATTCATTAACATACACATTTAAAAATGTTATTTTCGAATCAATCGACGTTTGTTTTACCATTAAATATACCGTTAAAAATCTAGATACTGATCATAAATTATCAGTTACTTACATTGATAGTAATAATAAGCAAGATGAATTCTTAAAATCTGAACCTATAATACGAGTAGCAACTGGAAACTCTATTAAGTATTGTATGCGCGATTTAATATATAAACCAACAAGAAGTTTTAATATTCAAATAAATTCGGAATCTGCTAAAGATTTATACAACAAAGAATCATTAACAATTAATTCGTTTATTGTTAATGCTGAAAAAATAGTATCCGATAATATTCAGTATATTGAAGATTGGTCAAATATTGATAAAACTAAATTCAATCAAAAGTGGCATTCGTTTAAAGAGGCCACAAACTTATTTGTTAAAATGGATGATTATAATGCTTATGCGTTAAAGGGTAATATAAAAATACTTTTATATTTTTATTATATTTTTAAAAATTATATTAATCAGTATAAGAACTTAAAATATTAACTTTAAACAATAAATTATTTTTAAACAATAGGATATATTTTAGTGATAACAAAAATTTTGATTATTGGTAAATGAGTAAATTATTCTGTGTGCATACTAGTAAAAGTTACTATTAATTTTGACTATACTTATTTAAGTATCACAAAAAGTATCGCACACAAAATGTTCTAAATAATCCAACATTAATTATTCAATTTTACATATTATATAATATAATATAACTAACATGTTTATTATTTAAATATTTTCAATCATAATATTTAATAGCACTAAAAATAAGAAAACTTATGTTCAGGGCAGACAACAATGCTAATTATTTGTCTATATTTAATGTTCATAAAAATGATATCAATAACATACCTATATTTTTAATTAAATTATAGTTAAAGCTAAAAAGGGGGATATAGTTGAAACATATTTTGTCAGCGATTGGATATATGCCAAAAATAATGTCGAAAACCTCGATCACAAAGTTATCATATCAGTTGGACCGGGAATTGACAAAACTATACTTACTATTAATACGGGGATTGTATTGGACATTAAACCAGAAATACCGGCACTTACTGATATAATTGATTTCAAAGATCCACTACCTAATCCTTATGATATTCCTATTAAAATTAACGATTCAAATGCTAGATTTTTCAAAATATTTTAAAAATTCACCTTGGCACCAATTGACGATGTGGAAAAAGTCTATCAAATTACTATAAATTCAATGTCCATTTATGATCCATGCTCAGATAAGAATAAATGCTCAGGGCACGGTAAATGTGTGCATACAGGTGATATTAATTTATTTAAATGTGAATGTTCAGATAAATCATATGCTGGCGCAAGGTGCGATAAAAGACTTTGTGATGAAAAGGTAAATTTAATTTTATTTAAACAATTTTATATATTTAATTTTTCAAAATTTAAAAGGAGCGAGATCAATTGTGTGGCGCGTTCCCAAATATCCCAACATTAAATCCAACAAAACCGTTTGATGATACATATTGTGAAATTTCACCTGGATTAAGTGTCGTAGCATACTCATGCAAATGTCCAGCTAACCAATTCTACACCTACATACAGGATAAACCGTATGATCAATTAATTTAAATTCAACAAGTTTCTATAAAAAATTTTAATTGGGTAATTTTATTTTAAAATGTATCTAAATAGGTGCGTTGAAAAACGAAAATACAAGGATGATACATTAATGTGTACTGAAAATAGAGAAAAATGTCCAATATTTAACTTGGTAACTCCCCATTGGTGGAATAGTTTTCAACTAGATCATCGCACTAGTATATTCCCGCTATTTTCACCAATGCATGTTGATGATAAAGTTAAAATTCAATTCAAAAATATTTTGCATGGTTATGATGTGTGTTTTACATTGAATTATTTCAAAAATGACCAGACAAATTTATTAATTAAATATGCCAGTAATACAGCATTTAAATTAATGGGACAATCGGATATTGCAATGTGGAATAAACAACAAATTTGCATTGGTGATTTAGTAAAAACTTTGGAAGGTAATTTTGAAATTTCCCTCGAAACAAATTTCGTGGACCCACAGGTGCATAATGATTTACAGGTGGCAATAAATATTATCAATGTGGAATCATTTCCAAGATCAATTATGACAAATTCATATTTATTACAATCCGATAAAAATTACGAAAAACATTGGCCTGTAATATTTGGTCTAGCAGAGAATTGGCAACTTTCTAAAAATACAATTAAATTTAAAAGTAATCCATTACGTTTAGTTATAACATGTTAAAATAATTTATTATTTAATTTTAGCATCAACCAAAGGGAACACACCTCATCAGACCTGGCTAATGAGTGAATGGTTAATAGCCAATAATGTTTCTAACAAGATAAGATTTATGCTAAAATCTCAAGATAAAAAAGGATTTGTGATTAAAATTGTAGCGTTCGATGAGTTATTTAATACAAGTTACACATCACCAAAATTATATGGCGATACAAATTTAGGCGGGGTATAAATCTATTATTTTTTTTTTAAAAAACAATAATTTAATAATTCAACTTATTTAAATTTCTAGGATCGGGATTCATTTATTAAACCAATCGTCGAGAAATTTATTTTAGATCCAAGTGTGAAATTCTTTAAAATCGGGTTAGAAGTTACATATTTGAACATTGGCAAAAGTTTATTTACATTGGATTATATTAATATAAATGATCCTTGTGTTCAAGATGATTTAACAATAATTCGATGCACCGGTGATCATGTTGTTCCAGATGCTAAATGTCAAGCTAGCAATAAGCCCAATGTGCATCATGAGTGCAAATGTGAGAGTAGCTTTGTTTGGACAGAAGACCTTGATAAAATTTGGAAATGTATGGCTAAAGCTCCGCCTTTTATATTTTAACTATTATTTAAAATTTATAAACATTTTGAATAAATATCAGAATTTAAATATAAAAATGGCAACGTACTTTTAAAAAAATATTATTAACTAAAGTAAATATATTAAATCAAAAATAATTAATTAAAGTTATATTATATAATTTATGATAGAATAAATTTCACTATAACTTGTTAAAAATATCAAAGTTTTAATATAATACTTTTTTGGCAAATTAATTAGTAATAATTTTTTACAAATTAGTAAATTAATTCATGTTTCAAAATACTCTAGTTAATTTAATTCAAAAAGAATAAAATTTAACAAAATTAAGATAATAGTAATAATTTGTTAGCTTTACAACATAATTAATGATTTACAATTTCATTGAACTATACAGTATAAAGTTTATAATTATGTTTCTATAATTAGTTTTGTCATAATTATGTATAATATTAGTTAATACAATGTATGATACTGGATAATTCAATAAGTAAAATTTGATAATAAGTTGTTAATACCATATAAAAAATTGTTAATGAAAATAAATCACAATAATAATTATAGTTTATATTATTGTCACTATTTTACTTATTGAATTATTCAGTATCATACATTTTATTAATTATTATTATATATAATTATTAAACATATACCTATTTTATTATATATACCTTTAGCATAACAATACCTATAGAGTTTGGAATTTTATAATTTACAAGTACAGTAAAATTATTTTTATTAAAACTCCATGTTTACTCAATTCTATTTATTTAATGAACATGATTGAAATTAAATTAAGATTTATAAAATTAAGTAAATTGATGTTTAATAGTAAAACTTTACATATATTTTCATGCATTCGAATGTTTTTAACAGATTTATATAAAATATTGTGTTATAATCTGTGCATGTTTCTATTTAATCTACAAACTAAATGATAAATTCCACTAAAAATAAATTTCTTGAGAAAGTACAGCCACTTAAACAGGTACACTTTAAATAGTGGAATTATATACCAGTAATTTACAAATAAACATTGTTAAACCATAACTCAAAACTAAAAACTCATTTTAAAATTAAGAAATATCCATATCATACAAAAAAAATAATCAACTCTTGAAATCTTATTTGAACCTGATAGAAATAAATAAATAACTATAAAAAACATCAACAAATGGAAATATACCATGATCCCGGTATAAACATGGTAATATCCTGTAATTCATGTATAAAATAACAGGTGCATTGGAAAATAACTTATCATTATCATTTATATTTATTTGGAAATAGGAAACTGTATATAAAAGCAATTTTTAAAAAATCATAAATCATTTACAATTTATAACTAAAATCGATATTAATATTGCAACATGCAACTTTTTATATACCTATCACTACTGTTTACCATATGTTACGGAGGGGAATTCCGTGTTAAAAACAACTGTCCATTTACCGTATGGGCTAGAACACTTGGTAACCAGGGCCACTATAACCCCGAAGGTGGTCGATTCGTACTAACTACCGGTGCCTCCCATAACTTCAACATCAACCAGGGTTGGGCCGGGCGTATATGGGCCGACACCCTATGCCAACCGGACGGTTCGCAGTGCAAAACGGGTGGTTGGGGTACGGCTACCACACTGGGCGAGTGGAACCTTGCTGCAAAAACCGGTGACATGGACTGGTATGATATTAGCTTGGTAGATGGTTATAACGTGGGTATGTGTATCACACTGATACCAGGCACATTTGATAAACAAGGTCAAGATCGTTATAACTGCGGGGAACCGGTATGTATAGAGGATATGCTGGCTAACTGTCCCGGGGAACTGGCGGTCAAGGATGACGATAAGACTATAGCGTGTATGAGCGCCTGTGCCAAGTTTAAGACGGAGGCCTATTGCTGTACCGGTGCCCACGCGCCTAGAGATAAGTGTGTTAGAGAGTACTGGCCGGTAGACTACCCGTCCATTTTCAAACACTACTGTCCCGATGCCTATAGCTGGGCCTATGATGATGCATCCAGCATGTATGCGTGCATTGGTAAACCATATACTGGGTACGAGGTCACTTTTTGCCCTAAGTAATCAAATGGATTATAATTGTTCAATTACAGTTAAAATTATTTTGTATACAAATAATTTGTGGTTCAAAATTATAAATAAAATTTATTTTAACACTTATTGTATCAAGGTTATTTTTATTTCGGTTAATTTGATCAAGCATATAGTTATCCTGATTTATAGATAAGCCCGCCGTCGACCACCAGATTAGCGCCGGTTATGAATGAGGCGTCGCTTGAGGCCAGGAATACCACCCCTTTGGCGATGTCTAGCGGCTGTCCGTCCCGTCCCAACGGTGGGTGATCTTCATTTGAGACCCATTTTCCGACATTAATAGCACCCGGACTATAAATAGATGTTTATTGAGTTTATTGCCAAAATATGAATAAAATAAACTAGCTAAATTTTGCTTTCTTAATTAAAATGAATAATAAACAAATTAGTATTTTTAAAAATAATATGTTCATAATTAGCTCAACAGATTAATATTTTGTTACATTCAAAAAGTACGTAAATAAAATAAAATCATAAAAATCTACACACACTATATGAACACACCATGCATAAAAAATTTAATTATACCCACATATTTTTCCTAACCACTACACTATCCCTTATGCACATACTTTTTGAATGACCCCTTTATAACAGAAATTAATTTCAAAAACAAATTTACTTTAAACTGTTGACACGAATGCCTTTTGGGCCCAACTGTAGAGCCAGTACTCGAGTCAACATATCCAGGGCCGCCTTTGCGGGTGAGTAGGCCAACCCATAGACATTCTATTGTTATACATAAATAGGAACATGGTCAAAATATTTTACTTGTAATTACATTTCAATCAATATATTACAGGTGCGATGCCATCGATACTCGAGATACCAATGATAGTGCCATTAGTTTCCTCCAGATATGGAACCGATTCGTGGATCAGTTCGGCGACTGCTCTCAAGTCAATGGCAAAGACCTGATCCCAGACTTGCATTACGTCTGATTGAGTGATGTTTGTCTCGGGATATATGCCGGCGTTGTTCACTAATACGTCTATTTTACCAAATGTTTTGACAGTGTCTGCGACCAAAGTGTGGATGAAATCACTTTTGGTGAGATCTCCGACCACTTCGAATGGCTATAAATTATATATGAATTTAATTTAATAGGGATTTAAATAGTGTTTTAAATTTTAATTTACAAATAAGTTAATTACTGATAATTATATTTATTATACATTTATTTACATACTGTGTATTTACTGATATTAGTATATTTAATGCTTGGTAGGTCAGGTTAGGTTAGGTTTGTTTAGTGCTAAATTTTTAATTATATTTTTAGAAGTTATAAATCCATATTACAATTAAAATGTGCAAGAATATATTAATATTTAAACAAACCTTTAGTTTCTTTGGTGACAAATCTTGTATCTCTTTCCCCACTCTCTCTACTTTGGCGGCTGTCGTACCGGTGACCACAACATTGGCCCCTAATATGGAGAATAGTTTGGCGATACCCTCACCGATGCCCGAACTACTGCCGGTCACTAAAACTACNCATTGATCCACATCTCATATCACAACAGTTTAGCAGTAGTTTGAGAGCAAAGTTTTCTTATACTCATCATATTTGTCACAATATTCAGTCTCAACAGATAATCAAGAATCACTTCTGGTCTACAAAATGTTCTAGGCAAATATGAAATATTTTGAATAGTATTTTAAATTATATTTTAAATTTTATGAATTACTAAATTTACAACCGATAATATATTGTGTAATAACCGATAATAGCAAATAAATTCATATTTATTGGTGGCTTTATTATTAGTGGTATGATATCATAAAGAGATATCAATTTGTCTTACATTTTAGTGATATACAGTAAACTTATAAACAATTTTCGGTAAAAACTTTTCTTAATTTTATGAATCGATAAATTTGCTAATTTAGTACCAATACTATCAGCAAAATTGTAAGTGAATTACACGAAAACATGCTGTCTATCAATGGCTTATGTCCCAAATGATATCACTTTAATGGTTGAACTTTGATTTAATGTTTAAATAAATTTTTAAACGATTGCATTATTAATAACACATTAAAATTATCTTGAAATAAACAAACGATTACTAAATTGGTTTAGTATTTATGTTACAGTATTTACGTGGATTAACTTAAGAGAAATTTATAATTATTTAAATTTCAAAAATTAATACATATTTTGTAATTAAATTTGTTTATATATTCAAGGCTTACATTTGAATTAAATTAATAATATAAAACAAAAGTATAAACTAATCAAATATTTAAACCTATATTAATATTGGGACAAGTTTGTTTTCAAACATGATTTCTCATCTGGTTTTTATCATCACATGTGAAACACTTATGCATTAAATAAATTTTATATAAAAAATCTCTCAATTAGTATTCATTAAACGATATATTTATCGATTCATTAGTTAATAAAATAAAAACATTTGAATAATTGAATTTTAATTAAATATAAAAAATTTTAAAATAGATAACCTATTACGGTACTTTATAATTTTACTAATTGAAAACATTAGAGAATTTCAAATTCTTTAACATTTTCTAACTTTATATTCAGTACCTATTGTTTAAATGTCTTAAAATAATATTGCTACATTAATAAAAATTATTTTATTCAAATATATGTATGTTTATGAGCAATAAATGTATAAATGTTTGTCATTATTTTAACGATAAATAATTTTTTGTAATAATTATTTGTATTTCAAGTCAATATGTTTGTCACAAACTATGTAATCATATGAATTAAAAACCTCTTGTTTGCGTGAATTTGATTTAAATTTAGAATATTTTTAAATATTTTCTCAGAATTCCCTAAAATCCTTGAAAACAAAATAAAGAAAAGAATTTAATTTTTCTATTAATTTTAAGGACTATTTCAAAATCAGAAATAAAATTAAAGATAATAAAAATTTAATTTTCTAATAAATTGATTATTATAATTTGTTTTACATATAGTTTTTATATACTTTTTGAATAATTTTTATATATGTCTGTAGTTCTGTGAATTGTAATATTAGCAATAAATTTAAACTTAAAATTAATTGAGCCATTAACCAATATAATATATTAATAATTAATAGTTATTATTAAAATAAACTACCATTTTTTATCTTAATACTTCTATTATAGACAATCTCATTCATTAAAATTATTGAATAACTCCTAAAAGTTCATTCAAAATATTTATTTTAATAAATAATATTATTATAAGAAATATAAATAGTCCGATCATTAATTTATCATTTATATTATGTTTTTGTAAGTTTACGAACATAAATTTATTTTTAAAAATATACAAAATTTAAAACAGGATATAATTGTCATTAAACGTCTTAATATTTAATAACTCGGAAGTTTAATAGGTTTATTACAAAAACTTATTTTCTATATTAAACAACTAATTTTATTACACGATATTATGACATCAGTAACTCATTACTACTTATTATTACTTAATAAAAATATTTACTTTAATATTATCATTAAGTATATTATTAGTAACCATTAAGCATTGTTCTATTCAATGGTATTATGTGTGAAATATTATAACAATATAAAAGCCATAAATTTAAGCTAAACCTTCAAACAAATGACATCTTAAGCAATATGTGTTTTAATTTGAAAATAGTTTTGCAAAGATTGAGTCTGGGCAAATTGCTGAAAAATATATTCAAAGTAGAAATTGAGTGCAAGAATTGCATTGAAAGCTCCGGGAGAATGAGGTGATCGCGCAGTTGCCATCATTTGCTAAAGTGTTTCTATAGAGCCCTCAAACTCTTGTATATATTCGTCACAGAGTTATGTCCATTGAATGTGCAAAAAGTGCAGTCAAGACATACCACTCCACTGTATTGTCTGTTAACCAGAATTTTGGAAAATTTCCTCTTTTTTATTGAAGGAAGAAATGGTCGCGACTTTTAAATTTGCGAACATTTAGTGTCTAAAACAGTCTCTCATTTGCAGTAAAAGTTGTTTTTCAAGTTCAAGCCAAAAGTCTGTTTCACTTTTATTGTGTTTAGGAGAATGTAATTGAAAGACAAGATTAAGTAACTCTTGTTTTATTAGTTACTCTTTTGACAGCAGTTATGAATTTTATGATTAATTGAATGAAAGTTTCAAATTAACCTTAAAAATGTCATGAATTTAAACAGTGATAAAGATTTTAACATATTATATAAACTAATGTCTGACAACGTATTCCTCTCATCGTCTAAAATACCGTCGATTGAGTCGTCGACTGGTATTTCTGACGACTTAGATCTCGGGCCCATCAGAGACCCCCTGACGACTGTCATCCCAATGACAATAGTTTACGCTCTCATACTAATCACCGGAGTTATCGGCAATTTCATAACATGTCTGGTGATCGCAAGGAACCGGTACATGCATACGGCCACCAACTACTATCTGTTCAGTTTAGCCATATCTGACTTACTGCTACTTGTGTTGGGTTTGCCTCAAGAGATATACCAGTTATGGCAGAAGTATCCGTACGCTTTCGGCGAAGTGTTTTGTGTGATCCGTGGACTCACCTCCGAGGCGTCCACCAACTCATCCGTACTGACAATCACCGCATTCACGATCGAGAGATATGTAGCCATTTGTCACCCATTGAAAGCCCATACGATGTCAAAGTTGTCGCGCGCCGTCAAGCTTATCATAATCATGTGGATTCTGGGGATCGTATGCGCCCTTCCCATCGCCTACCAGTTCGGTATAGTCTATGACTTCAATAACGAGCGACTGGTCCCGGAATCTGCCGCCTGTTCTATAAAGCGGACGATTCCTTACTTTAATGAACACACGTTCACTATATCCTCATTACTAGTGTTTGTAATCCCAGTGACAATCATATCAGTGCTCTATATGTTAATCGGTTTGAAACTCAGATATTCTGCTGCCGTCAGAAACAAACAAATAGCGGCTAATAATACCACAGATACAGAGGTGAATCACCGTAATGGGTCTGGGTACTATAAATACCAGTCCACTAAGAGACCGCACGACTCGAAGAATTCGTCCAACGGTTCCAATAGTTTGTCTCAACGGAGAGCTGTCATCAAAATGTTAAGTAAGAAATATATGAAACATTTTCCGCAATTCTCTGACATTTAATATGCATCTCAAAGGGGATGTCATTTACAATCACATACTGCATATAAAATACACATTATTTTTATTTGAGCCAAAATATAATTAAAATATTGATTTAATAAATAAAAGTTAGTTTTAGATAATAACAATAATTTAGATTATTAATAAACTCTCTGTTTTTGTTTCTAAAATAATCTTTTTTATGTTAATATCACAATGTTTGATCAAAAAATAAGTTCTCAAAGTAAAGCAATTTCTGAATGTGACACATGAATGCATTTAATAACTTTTATCTTTTAGAATAATAGCTATTTAAAGATGCTTTATACATTAATTAATTGAAAATTATAATAGTGGGCCTAATTTTATAAATAACATAAAATAACCAAATAATAATTTATAATTTTTGTTTGTTCCTAACCAGTTTGTATATGAATTTTTAAAATTAATAATTTTATATTGTTTTAATTTAAATTGTACTGTAATATCAAAACATAAATGAATCTCATATAAATATTAATTTACATAACAAATATTAAGTAAACACGGTTTATAAAATATAATTAAATTTAAAAAATATTACTTGAGATAATATGTAGATTTTTATATGGGATATAATAATAATGGTATCACTTTCTTAATGACGGAAACCAATGAAATGAATGAAGTAATGAAATGCTAATGAATTCCCAGACGTACTGTAGATATGAACTCTTTGATGTCAAGAATGAGATCAAATCACTCATAATATTATATTAAATGAATTCTTGTTTCTAATATCTTCTCATATTTTTATTGGGATCCAGAAGGAGTGCACAATCAAAGCATTGCTCACATGAATGTCAAAATATTGGATTGTTTTGTGTTTTGGTGCTATTTTTGGCTTAATTTTCACAACTTACTCAATTATGAATCGCACACTAATATAGTAAATATTGACTGTTTATTAGAGAAATGTTTTCACTAAAATCATGGCTAAGCATTAAGTTTAGTAATTTGCATATAATTTATATTACTGCTGAATACAAAAACTTTTATTGTCTATATTTTTGCGAGAATAGACAATATATTTAAAATAATTTGCAAATATTCTTCTCATGTCATCAGTTCCTTGACTTTGTAGTGTAAAACTAAAAATCACTATTATCCCGGACCTTATTTGGGATATTCCCATACAATCTCAATTAGTAATTAACTATTTTATAAAGAAGACTAAATTAATATTTTACTTTATTTTTCTACACACGTGTCGATTTTAAATCTCCAATTAGTTACGAAAGCCTTTAAAAATAACAATTAAATATAAACACAATTCCAAGAATTATTGTGTATAGTGTTGAGTCAATAAGATGTCATTATAATTAGCACTTCTACTCTGTAAAAAGGAAATAATTAAACAAGATTGAGTTAACAATTTTGATTATTTCCTAATAAATTATATCGAAATTAACTCTTTCGACAATTAATCGGTCATTCACTCAGAATTTTATTATTTGTTTTGAATTGTTTTTTATAAGAATTAACTCATGAATACAAATGTCAGGCTCGCATTAGGCGATAATTAAATATATGATTAATTTGAGTCTTAACTAAATTTGTAAAATTCAGACCCATTTAATATTTGCCATAATATTGATGTAAATGTAATTAATTTAATCTAATTGTCGTGTTTTGGCGAACGATCGGCAAAACAAATGTATTCATTAGTAGTTGAACTCATCTGCTGATGTCAATCGGATGTCAAACTTGGGTTAGACATCACTTCAATAGTCTCAACACCGATAAAAAGTCTCGTAAACCACGCATTTTACGTTAGATATTAATGGACGGCAGTCCAAAAACGTATAAAAATAAGTGTTATATAAACAGTCGCTAATAAATAATATGTTGTATTACATTATGTTATTGCTATTTTTCAGAGCATTTGGTGCGTAAAATGCAATCTATAATTACCTGCCGTCAGGTTTTTGCATATTTTTATAGTGTTATATAAACAGTCGCTAATAAATAATATGTTGTATTACATTATGTTATACTATAAACATTATATCTGTCAAAATATTTTTAATAAAATTTCAAGCTAGTTAAAATGTTTGTGTTCCTATCACAATAGAGATGCTATTAAAAAATCAATTTTTATTGTAATTTTATATTGAATATACATGCTGTGCATTGATATAATTTATTTGTCCAGTAAATATAACATTAGTTTTTAATTATATACTAAAATATTTGAATATCCTGTGAATAATGGTTAATAACAATGAAAATATTGTGTTTTCGACTTTATATTCATATTTTGTGTTTGCTTTTAATTTTTAAATATAGATTTTGTAAAGATTTATGATTAATAGTAGGAATATTTTGATGCTATTTTAGATGTTAGATTCTATAGGGTTTATATTATAAACTGTAAAATAAAATAATTTTTATGTTATCAAATCATACAATAGTAAGTTTTAAAAGATTTATACATTATAATATTAGCACTTTAATAATTTGTATTTTGATAAACCTTAGACTATAAATATATATATTGTCATTTGTTTTAAACTTAGTAATTTTAATCTATAATCTCAAAAATAATACTAAAAACTTAAAAATTCTCTACACAAAACTGATTCCGAAATGAGTTTATCACTATAAATTTTACTATAAAATATGTGTATTATACCAAGACAAGTTAAAAAGTTATTAAAATATGTTGTAATTTAAAATATATATACAATTATAATTTTTAATTAAACGATTTTTAAACTGTTTCATTAATATTGTTTTAATTACCGTAAATTAAAATTCTACAGTAAAATAGATTTGAAACTACAGTTTATTTATTTAAAGACTTTAAAGATTTTAAAATTTCAGATAAAAATATTTTACTGTCAGAGGTTTTTAATCTGTGCTTATTTATAATGGAGTTGGATTAAATTTTAGAGAATTGAATAAAATACTATTAATTAAAAATAACTAAACAAATATTTAAATACTAATTTGTGAGAATAAGATTTCAATTTACATTTATATATATAACACTAAAACGAAAACATACTACAGTATGCATGCCTTAACCACACCATTATCACAAATTCTATGTTTCAAATGGTTTTGCAAATGGAAATATTTTGTGAAATGTGTGTCTAAGAGGATCTGCCATAAAGGATTTACTAACTTAAGTATTTTTAGACTTTATTATTTTTACAAATATAAAAGTTTGTACAGAATGTAATTCAATTATAGTCAAGTAGTCACGTAAGTTACTGTTTGCAATACATTTCAACTTAGCTATTTCAAGTGAACAATGCTTTCAAATATACATTTGTTGTGTCCTATTATTCGTTTCCATCAATGAATTAATTTATTTTATACAATAAATTGATGTTATAAATATTATACTAACTTTAAAATTTGTACCCATTATTATTTAAATTGAATGAATGAAATGTAGTGAAAAAGTGCACAAATTATATAAATTCTTATTTCTTGTATTCGTAATAATAACTCCTTTAAATGTAATATGCTTTGAAATTCATTCAAGAATTTATATTGAATTTTTAGCTCATATTTATGTTAAACCGTGAAATCATTTAATATCATCACTAGCTGTGTATGAATTCTTCAAATATTATTGTATGAATTTAAAATTTAAAAGGAATTTAACCAATTATATCTAACTTTACGTTAAGTAAATGTAAAATATTTTTAAATATATATTTTTTAAAATTAACATTAAATCCATGATATATTTAACATCAAATCTACAAAATTAACTTAAGTTTCAAACAAAGAATTTAGGGGTTTATAAGTACTTGCGAACTTTATTTTAAATATATATCTTTTGTGTTTCGGTAAAATAATGACAATTAAACAGTTTTCTAAATGCCTAATTACAGTAATAATAAAATAAGAATTTTCTCTAAATATAATCTCTGTTGAATATCGTTTATTCTCAAGTTAAAACACGTTATCAAATTCGGTATTTAATGACTTCGTGTTCTCCACTCTCATCGTATGTTATAAAAAGCTTTTATTAAAAACAAAATCATTTCACTCTTTCTAATAGTTTTTAGAGCTAATTGTTTAAAAAGAAAAAACTTTAAATTGTATAATAATTTTTAATAATAGCCTATTATAATCTATTAAATGAATAGATTTAGTATTTGTATGTCATAAATAGAAACAGGAAATTTCCTAATTTAATGCATAATTAATTCTTAATTAAAATTAATGCCTGAAAATAATTTAGTCGGAATTAATTAATTAGTCTATTGTTTATTGTATTTCATGAACTTATGTCTTGCTTAAAATAATTGATTTAATGATTTTAGAGTAATTTGTTATTTAAAAATTTCTAATAGAAAATTTAATTTATAATATAATTCTTTTCACTTTGTTTTGAAAACAAATTATTTGTTTATATAATTTGTTAGAGTTGGACTGTTGAGACTAATTACACATATTGTTAGCGTAAACAAGTTTTATGTAAAATTTAATACTGTGTTATTTTAATTTACCAATATATTATATAAACAGAGACCTTATAACTATGATAACAATATATAATATAACTCTTTAAGTGTAAGTATTAATAAAAAGTCTAATACTCCTTATTTAACTCCAAAAGATCGATATTCTCAACGAATGCCATATATTAAGCTCACATTTATTGAATTATTTTGATTTACACTCTTCAGGAAATTATTGATTGCATTAAAAAACTACACCAATTGTTGGGTAATACAATTAGATATAAAAATGTACTTTATTTTAAAAATGTCTGGAAAACGATAGCCACTCTTTTCACACAATCAATGATTAAATTAAGTTAAAACATAGAAATAAGTTAAGGTAACCCATTACTTATATGTATTATTTTTCTATTCCCCATAAGTATTAGAAATCAATGTAAGATGTCTAACGATGTATTTATTTTTACTTCTTTTAATGTTATTTTGTGAAAACTGATCAAATAAAGATGTTTGAGAGAGAGAGAGAGAGAGAGAGA